GTTATTTATCTCTGCTGTGACGACCAATTCTTACATTAACCCACAACCTATGACACAAATTCATTTGTACATACACATTTGACATTTGAAAAAATAATTTAAAAAAACATCTGAAGAAGATTAAACAAAACTGCTGAAGACCCTGAGTCTGACTGTCATGAAAGGTCCACAATGGCTACTGCTGTCAGAGACCTAACTTCCTGCCTCATCCATTCATTCATTTATTTTGTTCATGCATATTTGAATTTTTTTACATCCTGGGTCGTTGGCTGGAGCCAGTCAGCAGGTGAGGACGGGGTGAGTCCCAGAACAGTTCCCCAGTCTAGTGTAGAGACACATGTTGGATTTTTACACTGAGTTAACAATTAACCTGATGACCAACTTTCACAGATAACACAGCTGCTGTATTTCACAAACAGTCAACAATAACAGAAAATCAGTGTCTTCAACACATTTGAAGAAATATTAAAAACTAAATTTAAAGATCAATACATTTTTTTTTGCATTTGAAAGACAAAAAATGGACCTGAGGTCAGATTTGAAGCTGGATATTTTCCACCAGGGCTTGTTGCAGCGGGGCAACTGTGTAAACAGTGGTGGTTGTTGTGGCGACGTTAGCGATGCGACATGAGGACGGACTTTGATGTCGCTGAAATACAGCTCTGGGTCTTTCCACAGTTAAAATGATGAATGGGTGAAAGTTTCTCGGGGGTAATATTAAATCAGCGGTGGGGGTAGATAAAAAGACTCTTGTTGTGTAAATCACCGCTTAAGAACACACTTGGACTCACAGACGTGTAGGACAGAAAAGAGACTCTGTTTAAGAAAATCCCGTGCTGTACATACTGTAAAGACAGTTAGTACACTCTTAATGTTATGACATACTGTGGATTTTGCAGCTACAAAAATTCTTCAGAAGTTGCGAGTTCATGTTTATGTTTTATCTTTATATATGTCCTTTATTTTGTTGATTTAATGCCAGTCAGGTAAAGGATGTTTTTACAATTAAATCAACTCTGAACCTTTCATACTGTAAAAAAAAAACCCAAATGTATTTACTCAGCTCCTCATACCCACACGTCCATTACTGCATGTTTTCATGTGACTAAAGGTTTATTCATTTACTCTGGTGTTCGTCATAGGTCACCCACCCATCGGTGGAATAAGTGTCTCCACCCGCTCCCCTGTCAGCTCTGTTCTCAGTGTGAAACCACAGCGTTGGATGGCGGCCACGTCTCCATAGAAAACACGGGCGGTGAAGGTCCAGTTACCTGTTCTGTTAGGAATGACGTTAAAAAATCGGAACAAGAAAACAATGATGTTTACGACAGTGAAGTAGGGTTGAAAAGATCTGTTGGGCAACTGGACCTGAAATTTTCTCAACAGTGGAGTAAATCAACTTCTCAAAGGATACGCTGAATATTTAACATTCACAGCTGCAAATGTTCATGTAGGTTTTGGAGGTGACTGTATTTTAGTTAATACTACCAACTCTTTTAAATAACTTCAACTTAAACTTCAACTTTAACTTTGGTTATTCCTGCCTTAGTTTTTGTCTAGTTGCAAACTATTTCAACACACAGTTTGGATCTAAGGGCAGTTGGACATGTCAGATTTTGCCTCTGGTCTTAAACCTGAGTTGACCTGTTCACCAGACATGCACTTACTATAAAACCAGTTTTTGTTTCTGTATCTTCTTTTTTTTATGGCCGTCAGCATCATGTCGTGCCCTGGTTCTGTCCAACATCGACTTCTCCAGCCGAACAGAAGCCTCTATGTCTCTCTATAGCACATCAAACAGGCCGTCTGAGTAATAACACGGCCGGTGCAACAGTCTTCATCCCATTACCTCAACAGAGTGGCATAGTAGTGTGCGCTGACATCATGCATGCCTCTGATGTCTCCCTCCGTCCTGCTTTTCAACAGCACGTCATTAACGTCTTTTAAAGATTTCCTCAGCGGTCATATAAGTCCTGTATCTGTGGACCTGAAGATTCATAGACGGAGCACATTGTTCTACCAGCTGGGCTCTTGTGTATGAGCAGCAGCAGTGAGAGCCAGTCAGTCAGTCAGTCAGTCAGCCAGTCAGTCAGTCACACAGGTGGCGAGGAAATTACAGTCTGTACATACTTGTCGTTTGGACGTCTTCCATTTCTGGAGGGCTATAAAAACTTCTGCCAGCGACTGTGAAAGCTATACTTGGATAGGCTGAGGCCATGCCAAGACATTTCTCACAGTACACTACTCATGCAGAACAATATTTCTTTTAATGATCAGATTCAATAAAATAATGATTATGGGTTCCATCAGAGCCTAACTGAACATGTCTGTCAGGAGTCAGCAGAGTGGAGCGGCTCAACAATGGCATTCTTGTTTCTGTGTACTGTACATATGTGAGCCTGCATGTGAACTGGACGCCTCTTTGGTTGACCAGCCGCTGCACTACAGTGTCTACCCACTTCCTCTGTGCTAAATTACATGGAACATCACATGAAAAGCAACTGTTGGACTTCGGACGCACAAACGGTCGTTAAGATCAAACGTCTACACAGCTCTGTTGTTGGACATGGAAAGAAAACAGGGAAGTGTGCGGAGAAAATGTCTAGCTGTCGGGCCTTTTCAGTTTCCCAGCGTTAGGCACCAGTTTGTGTTGGGTCTTTCTTCGTTTTTCTTTTTTTTGTGTGTGTTGTTGGCAGATCTGTGCCGTTTTTGGAGCAATTACCATCTCATTTGCTCTGAGGTTTAAGGGGCCGTTCACAAGAAACATGTTGAAGATGTGCCAAGTTGTTAACAATTGCAAGCCATTATTTATATGTTGGTCCCATGGGAGTAGGACCCTTACGTGTCGTTGTGCAAGGCGCCATACATATGACACATTGGCTGTTGGCCAGGAAGAAATGAACTCCTGTCTTTAAGACCTGAGAGGTGTCTGGTGCTTCATTACATACACATTATTGGGACATTATTGGGATTGTTTGATGGTCCACCATCAAACAAACCAATTATTGGGATTGTTTGATGGTCCACCAAGGAGTTTTTTCAAAATTTTCCTGAAGGGTTTTTTTCTCTCTTTGTTCTTATTCGGGCAGTGTGTACACCACCATGAGCTCAACGCTACAGCAGTTTTATTTTAATGTTGCCACTACTGTGAGGTGTGTCTCCCTTCCCTCCTGCTGTCTCTGTGTGGAGTTAGTTAGTGTCATCACACTCACCTGTGTCTCTGTCATTAGTCTCACTGGTGTCACCTGGTACCCTGGCTATATGTACCTCTCTCCCTCACTCTGTTGTTGTGCTGTGGGTATGTTAATGCTATGTGTTCATGCTGTGTGTTTGGTGTTCCTGCCCTGATGTCTAGGCCTTGAAGTCCTGCTCTTTGTTCATTGCCCTGAGTTGTTTCTTCCTGAAACTCAGTGCATTTTTGTATTTTTGCACCTTTGAAAATAAACTGCCTACACCTGAAGAGAGTCTTCCTAGTACTACATTTGGGTCCTGCCATGTCGTCACGTGACAACTACATCATTAAAGGTGATTCTAACATTTGCTTTTCTAATTTCTATAAACTAGAAATCTGTATTTTTACAGATATTATAGACTGGAAAATGAATTTAGCAGCAAAAAGGTGGTAGATTAATATGTAAGGAAGGGTCAGAGGCTGCAGACGCTCCTGGGGGCTGACCTATGGGGCAGAGGTTACACCAACCCAGTGTGCTCTTCCAGCAGCTATTCACCTACAAGTACTTTCTTTTGGGTACATGCCGGAAGACGTGACTGCTCATGAAGTTCAAAATGACTTCATTGGAGCTTGACTACCGCTGGTGTGATTGATGACGGATTAACAGACAGTGTGAATTCAATAGGAATAAATCATTGAACCCACAGAAGGCACTTGCTTCACATGCTGCTGTGATTAATGGACTCACACACATTGTAGTGGAGGGAAAAAAAAACCCTAATGAAATTAGAATTTGAAATTTTGTTGTAATTGAATAAAGAGCCGCTGGTGTCAATGACGGATCGATTAGTCTACATAAGTAAATGTTCGATGTTTTTAATCAGTCCAGGTTAACATTATACAACATTGTAAAGTCTGTCGATACATTGATAAACATTAGGAATGAGAACTCATCTGGCCTTGTTGATAGTGTTGTTACAAACATAACACTTATCTACTATTACATTGTTTTGTATATTTATGTTGAGGGTTAAAATCTGTGGATTGAAGTCAAGGGGTGTATCACTGCTTAAATCTTTATTACTCACAAGAAGGATCTTTGTTGAGTCAGAAACATGACCAAGAGGATTAGTCACCATGAAACCCAGTGTTATGGTTACACTGTCTGAGTCCTGACTAAGTATGTAAGAAGGGATCACATGTCAAAAGCAGCTCTGAGCTTTTGAAGCAAAAGCTGGAAACTGTCAAAGTCAGATCAACAAATCCTGTCTCAGAGATAATCCCAGGCTGTGAAAGGACAACTGGAATCAAGTTCTTAAACCCGTATAAAGGTGTGCAAAGAAAAAAGATGCTTTTCACAGCAGCAGAGCCTGAAAAAGTAACGCTGGGAAAATATCATAATATGTAAGGCTCTGAACTGGTTCATCTGTAAGAACTGTTACAAAGAAATTGCTTTTAATATTATTTTTAAAGGCAAAGGATCAAATAAGTTTTGTTCTTTGCCCCTTATTTCCTTTATTTCAACATATTCAACATGAAAAACATGTTTAACATATGTAAAAGATTAAAATATTGTTGTGTTCACAGCACCTCCGGTTGAAATGGTCCATTCAATCGACTTTAGAAATTCCATGCATTTAATGACTCCAAACATTCAAACATTTTTTTCTATGGTAATCTTACAAGACACCGTGCCCGTTGTTTCTGAAATATTTTATAACGCGGTTGGTCGTTGTTTAATTTCTTTCTTATTTATTTATTCATTTGTTGCTGTTTTGTTATTGTGTTTTTATTGGAACGTCTATAAATCTCGGAAAGTGATCAACTACATTTGAACGCAGCACTGTTGTCCGTTAAATACCGCCGAAAATATTTTTAATTGCAACGGAAACAGTGCCACGGTAAAAGCAGAAGAACACTCAACATTTTTAATTAATAACTCAAAATGTGTTTTAATGTTTTTAAACAAACTATAGTAAAATGTGTAAATATACATAATCGTCCACCTGGGTTGTTAATTAAATATCTGCAAATAACCTATTGCCGTAAGATCTAAGCTAATAAGCTAAATTTTGCTCAGCTGTTGCTAGGGGAAAGCTTACATTTAGACCATATAACCTATTTGTAAACTAAATGTGCGATTTTAACTTATTTGTTTTCTGTAACCTAAAATATACGCGGTGTTCACGTTTAACAAGGTAAAGTTCATGGCGAACGTTCCTGCTCAGAGCTACATTGCTATCTCCGAGCTTCATCCCAACTTCTCTCATCCTGTGAGTTTTAAATATGTTTGTTACATTATAAATTATCAAGTCAAAGGTTTTCCCTTTAATATGTTTATTCATATGTGGTGTTTAATTTCGTTTAAATAAACTGCTGTCCATTGTATTTTAGAAAGTGGCTGGGATTGTCATCTGGAAATCTGACGTGAAAAGTTTCCCAGACAGAAAGAGTGAGTACTTACTTTTTTAAATACCGTATATTTTATTTCAAGTTCTATCCCACTGACGCCCCTGCTACTTGGTGTCCTGCACTCCAGCTCCCTCTTTTGGAGAGACGGCCATTCATCGGTCTTTTTCCGTAATCATCCAGATAGATGCAGCTCCTAACAAGGACATTTCTGTTTAAATTTCAGATTTTGGTTCAGACAGATTCACCTTTGGCTTCATCATCAAAGACTCTCCTGACTTCTCTGTTAATGTGACAGCCTGGGGCAATGATGGCTACATCAACACACTCTCCAACAGCTTCACCATCGGAGACTGTGGTGAGACTAAATTAATGTCTTTGATTTCTTTTAGTTTTTTTACGTTATAGTTAAAACTCAAAAAACAAGTTCCAAGTCCTTAAATAAAATGTACAAAACAACATATTTTTGTTTTCCAGTTAATATTGAAAGTCCTTTGATTGTCACTAAAGACCAAGAGAAAGATGAAAAATTCTGTCCCACAACACCAAGGTAATGGCCACATTACCAGTAGATGTCGGTGTGTAGAGCCTGATGACAGCGTCAGACACTCACTCTCTTCTGCTCTCTCTCAGCCACTACAAGCTTCTGTTGACCGAGGCTCACTCCCAAGTGTGTCTGTGTGCTGACACGCGCACCGTCGACAGGCTGCTGCCGCTGATCCACATACCAGCGAAGGACTCCAGAGACTTCTACTCACTAGGAGACATTATGGCCAATGGGCAGCAACTGGACGGCACCATGATAAATATACTGGCTGCAGTAAAATCGGTGGGAAACAGTAAAGTCCCAGTCCCATCAAGTGATTGCCAGATTATTCCCAATCCCCCCCCGTTCTTTAATAGCCATGTTGCCAGTTTGCTTTCTGTGCACTGATGGTTTGTATGGCCAGGAACCACAGTGGTTCTGAGGAGGTGTCATGAAGTTCACACAGAGGCTGCATCACTGCAATTTAATATCACTGCATTTTTTTCAGTGTCGCACCATAAAAACAACAGAAAGTCAGTCGACATGTGTTTGCTCTTCAGACCGGCCAACTGAAACAGTTCACCACTTCAGACGGACGCAGAGGCCAGAGGCTGGAAGTGAAGCTCTTTGATGACTCGGTCTCTTCCTTCCCTCTTGTGTGGTGCGTCATAGGCATTTAGAAATTTGGAAATTCAATAAATATCTGATACTTTGGCTGCTTTGGTGCCTTATACCATTTCTCTGACTGCACGGGTCAACACTGTTCATCATTAGGTTTCCATAAATTTACTCTGGTGACACGACTCCTAAGTGAACTGCACTATACTGCATGTGTGTTTGATTTTCACTCTTGGCCTCCCCTCTGACTAACTCTCCGACCTCTGTTTGACTCAGCTGGGACAGAGAAGCCATTCAGTTTGCACAAACATGGATACCCAAGGAGACGGGTAGGTTCTCCTCCACAGCAGGAAATCCTTTTATCCAGCTGTTTTTCCAGCCTGTCATTTCCTATTAACACAGTTTACCAAGCAGAGACATGGATATGTGAGGCATGGTGGAGTTCTGGTGTTGAAGATAACTTTACTGCGGTTTCTGTTTCAAAAGTTCTCTTCATAGCCGACGTCAGGATCAGCTTTGACAACTTCCGCAGAGGCATGACAGCAACAGTTAACTGGAAAACCATCATCACTGTCAATCCTGGTAAGGTATCTGAGTGGTGTTTACAAAAATATTGGGGTTTGAAACCAATGTTTCATCCACAATTAATCAGAGGCAAACCTAAAACACTGGTCCAGGAATTTGGCCAAACAGCGCTAGTGTAGCATGTAGGAAAACTTTCAGCTTCCTGTTGTGTCACAGTCAATCATGATCTGTTCTCAGACACCAGGGAGGCCAGTGCGCTCTTCACCTACGCTAAAGAAGTGTTGGAGTCAGGTGCACTGGATGACGATGAGAAACCAGAAGATGTACCAGGTGAGTGATAGTGATCCATTCATCCACTTGTAATTTTCCATCCTGTACCAACTAAAAACTTTAATTCTTTAATTTCTATTTTCTTTAGTCATTTCAGAACTGATCTATGTTCAGCTTGTTTTTCCACCATAATCCTTTAAATTCAGTTCTAGGCTCAGGCACAGTTTCCACGAGAAAAATCTGTTTTTTTGTTTTGTTTTTTGTCGTCCTATTCCAAATCATCAGAATAGAAAACTAGAGCAGCCAAGGACTGAACCTTCAACCTTCTAGTTGGAAGGAGACATGTGCTCTGATTGAACTTGACACAAGTTATTTGTAAAATCTAGAAAAGTGTCAAAAGCAATTACTGAAGAAATCTGACCTCAGTGCCTGTGAAATAAAGGAAGAACTGCTAGAGATTCCAAACCTTAGACGCTGATGGAATTCTTCAAGCTTCAAATCTGAAGAATACATTAAAAAAAATAAACATTCAAACCATGAAAAAAAAACAAAGCATTCAAAAAATGAAATGGAAAAATTATAAATACAGAATGGAAGGAGTTGTTCTGTGTCAACAATTGTTTTGTAAATTTCTTGGGTACAACAGCAAGTGAATAACTTTTTTACAAGCAAAAGCATTTCAAAGTTTGAAATATTGGAAGAAACAAGTTAACTAATTGTAAAAATGCAGCCTAAACCACTATGTATTTTACTCAGGTGTCCACGCACCCCCTCCCCTCACCCCTTTTTACAGTTGATTCCATCATCGACATTTATACGGTGAGTCAGCTGAAGCTCAAAGCTCAGGAGAATCCAGAACCTTTCTTTGGTATTACTTACAGCTTTATCTCCAAGCTGGCCCTGGACTCCTCTGTGTCAAAGGTCATACGGACACGGTGGTAAGGGGATCTTTTTTTTTTTTTAATTTATTTTCTTTCTTCTTTTTTTTTTTTAAAGATTTTCCTGGAAGACTTGTTTCCTCTTTTTTCCCAGCTGCAGATGTGGGTTCCAGGTGACTGAAGATGCTCAGAGCTGTAACAATGAGCTGTGTCCAGACAGGGACCAGGGTTTGTCTGCAGCCACTGGTTTTGACCTGCTGGTTGATTTGAGTGACCACAGCGGGACCCTGCAGGCCTGCATTTTCAGAGGTCCAGTGGCAGAGAAGACCCTCGGCTGCACGGTCAGTGCAACCATCTGTCATTCTAATGGGCAGTATCTGTGAATAATTTATACTTTAACTGAGAACTCAGAAAAATGTTTAAGTATCAATTCAGAATTTCGCTCCTTGATTACAAGACTATTTAAAAGAAGAGGAGGTTTTTGCTCTTCTGTTGTCTGTTTATTTATCAAAATTTAAATGTCCTGCAGACGGATGAATTCAGCAGTCTGACTGATGACCAGCGTACGGCCATGAAGTGGAAATTTCTTTTGGAGAGATGCAAAATATATGTGAAGGTAGGTATATCTTTTTTTTTTTTAATATTAGTAATTAAATGATACAAAATATATAAATATATATTAATACACCTTGCAGATACTGCCTTCACCTAAGTTTAAATCTGGAATCCGAGGAGTGATCATTGACTGTTCTCTGGCTGATCCAGGGGAGTTGAAACAACACATGTCTGCACTGCTAGGTCTTTGAGAACTCTCCACACACACACTCACACACACACACACACACATCTGCTGTTAAGGTAGTGGCTTCCATATAAGTTGTTTTAGAGTTGTTTAACTTATACTACAGGTCATTGTTTTGGTGAATGTATTGATGTTTGTTTGCTCTTTGTCTTTAAGATGAACTATTTATTTATGTATTTATTTGTTCATTGTAGGTATACTTGAGGTTTTTACCTTTACAATATGTAAGTTGTTCAATAATTGAACTCAAGAACAAGAATAAATCTAAAAAGATCAAGATAATGTTATTTATTCAATATTCTTAATATTTTCTTGTACTTTTCTTGCTAGGAATAATCATAAATATTACAGAAATGCCAAAGTGTTTGGCAAAAGGCACAACATTAATAAGTTGGAGCAGTTTATTAAAATATATTTTCAAACTGTATGCTTTATAATTATTTAAAGAAATCATTCCGTTTAAAAGATAGCACAGTACTAGTGTTGCTCTATTGTATTGCAATAACATTAAATCTACCACAAGATGGCGGCATTGCGCTTTCACATAAAGTGGAACCTTCGCGGAACTGCGGAGTGTTGTTGGGGACACCTTAAAACAACGGACACGTTTACAGTAAACATCAGTGGTAAGGTAAGACTAATGTTTTTTATTGTATCATCTTATTTTAACATATATGGAATCATTCAGTAAAATAACGGCACGCTGTACATTCAGGGTTTGCTAAATGTAATCAAATGTTGAAGTTGTCGTGAGACTGCTTTAATTAGCATTAGCGTGTACGTTTAGTTTTTAAAAGTTGACATCTAAAGGATTGTTATTAAGGGAACCAATGATGACGTGTTGTTCTCTGTATCCCTATAGTTTGTGACTGGTCCAACATGAACGTAAATCAGGGCACTGTGGGCAGTGACCCAGTCATTTTGGCCACGGCTGGATATGACCACACTGTCCGCTTCTGGCAGGCCCACAGCGGTATCTGTACTAGAACAGTCCAACATCAGGACTCTGTATCCTTCACGTTAGTGGAATAATTAGAGATTCTCTCTGTGAGTAACAAGGATGGACAGAGGTAGAGTTTAACTTTGAATGGCTTGGACTATTGTTTAGGAAGGTTTACGTCTTGGACAGGTGATGATGACGATGGAGCACCAGACTTGATACATTAACTTGCAGATCATTTAAAAAAAATATTCCTTAGTGTTTACTTACAGCAAGTCAATTCACTTGAAGTCACACCAGACAGAAGCATGATTGCAGCTGCAGGTTTGTAAATATTTGTTGTGAAGTACAAACTGCTTTTTAATTGAAAATTCTATTGTTTTTTTCGTTATTAGTTTTTAGACCCTTTTAGCATAAAATCCAACATTAATAGTTGTTAAGACTGGGTTTAAACTTATTTCATTTTAGGTTATCAACACATCCGCATGTATGACCTGAACTCCAACAACCCAAACCCAGTAATCAACTATGATGGAGTGAGTAAAAACATCACGTCTGTGGGCTTCCATGAAGATGGACGTTGGATGTACACAGGAGGAGAGGACTGCATGGCTCGTATATGGGACTTGAGGTGATGCAGGTTCTCTGGTCATTTCTACAGTTGATCATATCTGTCATCAACAAACATCTGCATCGCTGCTCCTTTTCTAGGTCAAGAAACCTGCAGTGTCAAAGAATTTTCCAAGTCAATGCACCAATCAACTGTGTGTGTCTGCATCCCAACCAAGTAAGACTTCATATTGTTGACTTTGTTTCTTTAAATCAAATTGAAAAGTTGTCATTCTACTTTGAACTCAGTAAAGACATCAGCTGTGTCCCTGAGCTTTAACTATGAGCTCGGAGGTAAAGCTTAAATCACAAAAGTAAACCTTGTTGACAAGTTTTTGTTTCACGTTTTTTCTTTACAGGCAGAACTAATTGTTGGAGACCAAAGTGGAGTGATCCACATATGGGATCTCAAAACTGATCACAACGAACAGCTGATCCCTGAACCAGAGGTCTCAGTTAATGCGGTTCACATCGACCCAGACGCCAGTTACATGGCAGCAGTCAACAGTTCAGTAAGTGCTTCATCTGTCTAAGTGTCAATATAAAAGTGACGTCTCCTTCAATAACAGCCCCCACTGTACTTATCTTACAGGGAAACTGTTATGTTTGGAACCTGGCTGGAGGCATGGGAGACGAAGTGACTCAGCTCATTCCCAAAACTAAGATCCCAGCACACAAACGTTACTCCCTCCGCTGCAAATTTAGTCCCGACTCGACGTGAGTTGACCGACCACAGAAACCTTCATCTGCTTTGATGTCTGTTTTGTTGATTTTACTTTATCACCTTTACCTTCTACAGACTGTTGGCCACATGCTCCGCAGACCAGACCTGTAAGATCTGGAGAACGTCCAACTTCTCCCTCATGACTGAACTGAGCATCAAAAGCAACAATCCTGGAGAGACATCCAGAGGCTGGATGTGGGACTGCGCTTTCTCTGGAGACTCCCAATATATTGTAACTGGTCAGTGTTAGAAATTAGATTTTTAATGTGGAAATCTTAGGTTATAGATCAGAATGTGTTGCAACATATAAGGTTAAAGAGACCATTCAATTAATTTAGGATATTTTATGTTTTTTGTTTTTTTACAGCATCTTCTGATAACCTTGCTCGTCTGTGGTGTGTGGAAACTGGTGAGATAAAGAGAGAATACAGTGGCCATCAGAAGGCTGTAGTTTGTCTGGCTTTCAATGACAGTGTCCTGGGCTGAGCAGGAAGAGGAGGTGGAGGAGAACCAAGTGGAAATAGCAACTAATGACTAATAACTTCTGAGTAGGGGGAGTGAGAACTCTGTGAAAGGTCTGGGTTTCTTCACTGATGATGGGTGCTACTCATACATTTTGAAGGAACAGGCTTGTTTGAACACATATCTACACGTACTTGAAGGACGTGTTCTGTATTTGTTCATCAGCTCCCCTTCAGGCTTTTTGACTTATTTTTGTTTGTTTGCCTCGGGGTTTGCCTGTATTTATTTGTATCCTTTCGACCAGATGGATCATTACCTTCAAGCTGAAAAGTCTTTCTGTAATATGAACATTCACTAAAATACTTTTTATTTGAAGTATTTAATCGTTCCTGTCTTGAATTCTTCCTTGTGAAACTAGTAAATCCTGTCAGCACTCTCATTTTGTAAATGTGTTTTTACAGGATGCGACCAACGTCTACAGGATTTTAGGTGTTTTTTTTAATCCTCAGTACTACTTAATTACTATTAAAATGTAATACACAAAATGTTAGCTTGTCCTACACAAGCCTGGGGGAGATTCTTACTACTGCTGAAGTTTGCTCTGCCTCTTATTACAGGGTCTCCAAAATTTGCAGTACTGTAAACATCTTTTTGCTAAACTTAAGCTCTCATTTAGACTTCTGTTGGAAGATTAAAAATCTACTTTAAACTATGTTTTTACAAACACGATTTATCTTTACCCCGTGACACTTTTACCTAACTTTTTGCTAACACAACTGAATTTATTGCCATTTCATTACTGTCTTACTATGTTAGTTTATTAGGTTTTAGCTCAAAGAAAAAAATAATGAATCAAAAAGCATTTTTTATTATTTGATTAACCATGTTGCTAGACATAATTAAAAGTTACAGGTTACAGTAAATACAGATGGGGTTTTGTACAAAGATTTTTTTTGTTCTTTTCTAATCTCTGAACTGTGTCACCAGAGGCAGGATTACACATGAAGCCAATGAGGACAGAACTTTGGCGTTGGTTGTGACGGCTCATATTTTCTTCTTCTCTGTTTTCCTCTTGGATGGATTGAAATGGACTCAGGAGGTTTGGACAGTTTTACTAGCAACTGTATGGCATAGAAACCATCAAAGCAGGCTTTTGTTCTGTTGCTTTCTGCCTTCTATTTTGCAGTGCCTGGTTTTTCCTGCTGGTCTGTTGTTGCGAGATCCAGCATCACTCCGGCAGGTAGTAGAAACAGACAGAGACGCAGATGTTGCTGGGAAAGCAAACGTCAATGCAGAAGTAGACCAGCCTCTGTTTCCCTGGACCTGAGAGAGTAGGAGACATGTCATCTTTTGTATACAAGTTTATGATGTTGGAGAAGATGATGGTTTTTATAGACATACTTCTCCAGGCATACTTTAACTTTAACTGCCACTATCTTAACCTAAATTAAGTTTAATCACACAGGTTTTCTGCAGTATTTGTCAAAACTATTGATGTCATCTGATACATGTTTGTCTGATGTCCTCAGCAAGTTGACATATGCTAAAGTACTGAGTGCGTGTACAGTAAAGTACTGAGTGCACTCTCAGCCATTTCACTTCTGTTAAAGGTCAGTCAGTTCATGGCTGAGGGTCAAGTTTCAGGCTGAGTCCTTTCTCTGTTATGGAGCTGCCAACAGTTACTGCACGGACACTAAGCTCTCGCAAATGACGTGAACATTTGAACCTTGCCGTGTGTTTTATACATAAAAAAATAATGGTCATTTGAAAGTAGAGGAATACTACAAATCCATTGTCAAAACTATGTAAGATTCACTAACATTATTGCTGATCTTATCTCTCTACTTTGTACCTGCAGTTGCAGATGTTGCTAAGAAACCATGATTGGTCCTATTTCAACAGCCATGTTCCCTGATGTGTTTGTTCCTACCATGAGCCATCTTGGTCCAATGGACAGAGCTATTGTTGCACAGACCCTGCAATGGTTTGTCAAGTGTGGACATGTCCACCCGACTGTCTGCTGGAACCCCCAGGAACTGTGTCTTCCACTGGGTCTCATTCCCAGTCAGCTGGTAATAACTCTAGAAACAAAGGCCAGCAAGTCAGGAAGAGGAAACCTCTCAATCAGACAGAAATACCAATTTTGATAAAACACATTAACTAAGAAACAAGGGAATCTGTTGATTGAAAGCAAAGGAAAGATAAGGAAGTAACTGAAGTGGCAATAAGGGCCTTTTCCCTCCTCTGTCCAGGTCACCAGGATTTTACAAAGGCTGCATCAAATCCCTTAACTTACCACCTTTGATAGTGAACCACTCAGAATGAGGTAATGCTTGAGTGGGTCCCATAAGAATCAAACCTCTGCTGAAGTACCAAGAAAACCTTTGTACCTAAACACTGAGCCAAACATCATCTGGTCTGGAGCCCTTCTGACAAAGGTAGATAAGATGGCCCCATTCTACGGATAGGTCTGAAAACCAAGGAGTCATGTGAGACTTGACCACCAGAGGAGGTTTTTTTAAACAACGCTCACATGCAGCTTTTAATGCAGGGGAATGCCCATTGTGGAAAAGAAGATAAGTCACAGAAACAATACTTTGCAGGTTAACCTCAACATCTACCATGTTCCTGGTCACCTTATTGATTCTGCCACCTACTGTCAAAGTTATGGACATCCAGGTGTTGTTTTTAATCTTGCAGCTTGTACCACATGCAGTTTTTAGGCTAATGCAAGTCTTAAAGACCCTTCACACAAAGTGAGCATTGTTTTCTACACCAGGTTTCAGGCTTGTTGCCACAGCCTCTTGAAAGAGGATACAAGTTCCTGTGAGGGGGAGAAAGAAGAGATCAAATGTGCTGAGGAATTTTTGCAACTGAGGGAGACTGTATGGTTCTTCAAGGTCCTGCACGCTTCACCTGTCCCTTTGTACGGAGTGGAAGTGATGCCAGATGTACAAAACCTATCAGGCCCTAGCTAAGTGGCTATTGAAGTGTGAGTCGGAGTCAGACACACTGCTTTCTGGACTTAAAAAACTGAAACTCATCATTCATTAAGCAATCCACACAACTTCTGAAAAACATGACGAGGATCAAGATTGAATCACACAAACGCTCCCAGGATTTTGGTGGCATCCTAATTTCCAGAGTTTACTGTTCACATGTGCCCAAGGCATAAACAAATAGTCCATTACTGAATGTCCACATAACGCCGGAAATGGGTAGCATCATGCTTGAGACACGGCTTCTGGAGACCTAAGCTCTTCAAGACTGGCATGGCTTTAAATATTGCAAACAAGAAATATCTCATCGTTTCCAAAACAGAACTACAGCCTGGATCTGATTCTCACATTTCACTTTTTTTCTGCCCCATTTCACATGTCCAGACTTAAGCTTATCTGTGAGAGAAGTTTGATCGATGGTTATCAGCTCACTACAGTGAAACAGACCCAACAAGTTTAAGCACAAGATGCACTGAGAAACGTCGGCTTCTATCTTGACATAATGAAATGCCCACTCCTCACCTGATGTGCTTTCTTCTGAAGGAGGGATTGAATGTTGTCATAATCAAACTGTTGCATCTTCTGCAGGAAGCAGCTGTTCTGTTCCTCTGGTCTGTAACATATCAAACCCTGAAAGACAACAGTGGACAAACCTAAGTTTTAAAACCCTAACCCTTGGGTCAATAATTCACATCAGCTCGACATACATGTTTGATATCAAACAGTACTGTGGAAGTCTGATTTGCAGCTGAAGTCACAGTAAAGGTCACTAGGTGGTTCTGCTGATCCACTACTGCAGACTGATTGATCAGAAATCCTGTCTGATCTGGCGCTGAAAGTCTCACAATCTGTGAAGACTACAAACACAATAGTAGAATTTACCAAGTTATCAAGAAAAAGGCCCATGGTTGCACAGATACTTGACATACCTGAGAGTGTGGTTTAAGCAGACCAAAATGACCTGTCAAACCCAGACCAATGAGGAGCAGAAGCAGAGAAGCTGAGAGACTGACCCAAAATGCCTTGTGAGGAAAATGAGCACCGGAGACAGAATTGGACGTCCCACCCTGTCAAGAAGATGTTAAAGAAAGAGAATTCATTAAGATATTTAAATGGCACCTAGTACTCAATGAAAATTGTGGACTAGAAGAAAGAGTGCAGTTTCCTGTCTCTACCTCCTACTGTATATGTCAGGACTCTTATTCCTCTACTACTTACCGTACACTGCTCGTCCTCCACACAGTTTCCTGTCTCTTTCCAACAACTCACCATCCTGTGTCCTGTGACAGTACCTGGATCGACTGCTCCCTCCTCACGACTATCAACACGGAGCTGCTGTAGTCATTGGTGCAGCTCAAATTCACCTGACCAGCTCCTCTTTGTCAGACCTCAGACCTCCCACCTTCATCCATCCCCTCCTCCTTTCAAATTCAGTCACCCTTACACGGTTAATCTAGACAATTGTGTAGTCTACCAGCAATTTTATTTTATTTAGGCTCTAGTATATCTTTCTGGCAGTATCAGTCATTTTAATGACTTTGCTGCTCTTGAAGGTCAAACATAAGACCAACATCAAAGGACTTGGCCCTCGTCCCCAGGTCAGACAATGAACAATGGATTGTTCAAAAGTAGTGATCTGTGGCTCAAACCTCAGCTGCAGGGTGCAGTTGATGGCTAACTGGACACAAGGTGATCCCAACAGGATTCACACATAAATAAACGATGGCTAACTGGACACAAGGTGATCCCGACAGGATTCACACATAAATAAACTAGTTTTGCTGTCACAAAACTAATTACAAAAATTATATATTGTTGAAAGTTTGGGTTGAAGAAGAGGAAAGACAAAACTCCAAGGTCTGCATCAGAAGACATTGTTCCAGGATTCTATTATAATTGTGAACCATCACCTTTTCAGTTTAAATGAATTTTAGATAGTGGAATACACACTTTTAAGGTTGCTTTTAAGAAATCTTTAGCAGGCATCAAGAAAATGAGCTTCCATTAGAGCCTGATATCAGATAAAACCTAGTCTTACAGGAGGTCTTAGTCGTAATGCAGAGTAGGGTTTGTTTTAATTGATTTAAACAAACCAATGGAGTAAAACTGGACCCCAGGAAAGAAGAGCAGAGATTGATGGAATTAAGACAGTTCATAATTTATTGTTCTAGAGGTGGTGTAGAGATTCTGGTCGTCACTGCTCCTTAATATGAATCAGAAAATGGTTGTTTAAAAGAAGACAAAAACCGTCTTCGTCACTAACAAAACAGAAAAGAAATACAGCTGAGGTATTTGCATGACCTTGTTAATGTAAGTGCAGAGACATTTTGTAAAGGTGTTGAAATACACTTGGTAAATACAAGAAACTGAGGTCACAAAGCTTTGCATTTCACAACATGTTGTTAGAAATGAAATTAAACTGAAGACAGACTCACAAAGTTAGCCACACTCTGATATAACTTGTGAATTGTCTAATCTAGTTATTGCACCACAGACAAAATAGTAGTTTCTAAAGTTGACCTCTTTTATCTTATCCGAATGCCTTGTTACATTTAAGAAATACCAAAAATATTATTTTATATAACATTTAAGTGTCATTTGTAGTGACAACAAAAATAAAATTAATGTTAAAAATATATTTATATATTTTACTCTTTTCACTACGACTTTGGTAAGCACAACTGCAACAATGCTCATACAAGAAAATGTGCATTTCAGTCTCTCACAGATGTGGTAGCTGCAGCCTCATTTGATGTTACATGTATTTAAACAAGATTCTTGAAAACAGTCAGGGTGTATGTGAACTACATAATGTAAACTCATTCATTATGTCTCATTATGTCTAAAATTGCAGGTATTATAAACTCACTTTAAAATTAGTTTTTTTGTAGCCTTTACCCTAAGAGAACTTTGTATTTTTGCCAATTCCATAAATCTGTTTTTCTTGTGTATTTGCTTGTATCAATGTTTTCAGAATTCTGTGTTGATCTGGTTGTTGACAACTGTACCACAGCGTCACACCAACAAATTGGAACTGTCCCTCAGATACATCAGAGACAGTGGGACACTGGTATGTCCCACGCTCCTCAATCTTCTAAGTTTTACAGCTGTTGCTGTACTTAGCTGCTCCTTATTCTCGACACATTTGCAGCAGCTTCATGCCTGCAGAGCAGGAAGCAAATCTGCAATACTGTCCACATAATAATCTGGTACCATCTTCTGTCGCTCTGTGCAGCCACTCTTTTCGTGAGCCTCAGCATCTGCCAGTGTGCTGACCCCAGTGAGGGTCAGCAGGGTCTTCAAGCCACAGTTGGACCCCAGCAAGATATCTGTGTCCAGGCGGTCGCCCACCATGAGACAGCGCTCGCGGTCCACGCCAAACTGGAGGGCCAAAGACTCGAACATGAATTTGCTTGGTTTGCCAACCGTCTGGGCTTTCTGTTGGGCGGCTGTCTCCACGGCCTGCAGGAGGCAGCCTGTACCTGAGGAGGAGAGGAGTAAAAGGTGAGCATTTACATAACACAGCATGTAACAATACTGTATGTGGGAAGCAACCACTTTAAGGCTGTAGCTTAAAAACTATCAGTGCAGGTGTAACAACATAAGGGGCTTCTTTAGAGTCAAGGCTGGGATTAAAGTTTTAGGCTTTAGGATTTACAGTTGGGTTATGGGTAATGTCGTTCTGTTTTGTAACGGTTGCGACAAGTGTTGTCATTTGTGTATAAGCATCCATACCTGGAACAGCCTTGCCCCCCTCAAGGGGCAGCCTGGAGTCCCTGTTGGTGCCTACAAACATACAGTCCTGCCGGATCAGATACTGCAAGGCTCGGTTCAGCTTCATGTAACTGAAATGCTGGTCAAAACCGACCACCACCGCCTTCACATCTGGGTCCAGAGGCACGTTGGCCCAGTCGATCTGCTGTCCACAGATGAGGTCCGGCCCCTCACCGGTCTGCTGGATCCCGGCGGCCGCCAGCTCCTGCGCCATGGCAGGGTTACCGATCAAGTAGACTTTTTTACCCTGCAGCTGGCATACGTTTTTTAGGTAGATGGCGCAGCAGTACGCGGTCCCGAACACTTCCTCCTCTGCTACTTTGAAGCCCATCTTGGCCATCTTCTCCGCGTACATCGTCCGCGTCTTAGTGCTGTTGTTGGTGACAAAGAAGACCCGTTTCCCGGCCTCCTTCAGGCGGTTTATCACATCAGCAGCGCCGCTGATTACCTGGTCCCCACGCCAGATCACTCCGTCACAGTCAAAGAGGACCGTGTCCACGGAGTCCAGGACTTGTTTGAGCAGGATCCCGCCTAGCTTGGAACATTTGGACCCGGACATGGATGAGGAAGGAAACGGACTCTGTCGCGTTGTTTTTTTTTTATAAAGCTGCACTGCGCACGGCCTCAACAGCAAAGTATAGCGATAAAAAACGAAAACAAGCGACGTGTTGAGTCTGAAAGATCACTTGAGGAAAAATAATTATTTTGAAAAGAGTAACTCCTGCTCAGATGGAGACATAAACCTGACCTTCCACCAAGAACATGAAGTATCAGTGTTACTTCCGCACCGGCTTAAAGGGACAGTAACCATGGAAAGGAGGCGTCTACTGTACAGGGGCGGAGCTAGACGTTCTTGTGCAACTGTTTTACACAAACCCACACGTGCCGTACAATTTCAAAATCGCCCTGGTTCTTCTTGTTAGGCAGTCGTACTATTACTACAGTACCTGTGGCCACTGTGAAGTCTGGTACAGAGACATCAGAGATTCTTTAAAAAATTACAAAAATTTTATTAATTTTGTTATAAAGTATACTCAGCAGTGTTTTAAAGTAAGAGCACCGTAACCAAAACAGCAAATGTACATATTTTAGTTAACTTTTCTTTTAGGAAGTCGGGGTGGGAAAAATATTTCCCCCAAGTTTCTGAGAATCCCATGGCTGTAAAAGTATCTCTTAGAATGTTCTGGGACTGGAGTTTTCAGTGGGTCAACAGCTGATGCCGGATGACAGTGCTGACAGAAGTAACCTCGGCTTTTGTACCACTCATTGGAGGTTTGGTTGACAAGAGCCAGGTAGGAATGGAACAGTGCATAACCTCCTAACAGGAAGAAGACAAAGACCAGGAAGCCCAGCATGAAGATGATGCGGGGGAAGCTCATGAAGAGATGCTGCAAAGATAAAAGAACAACAAAAAGGATTGCATCAGGAAAAAACTAAGGCAATATATATGTTGCTGCAGCACATTTCTGAGACACGTGGTGGATGTTTCTCAAAGTCAAGAAGTCATGGTTATTTAACATCATTTGACTGTTCAAATCAGATGAGGTTTCAAATTCTGTAGACTAGGCAAGGTGAGGCTGACGGTACAGCAAAGTTGTCAACATACAGAAGGCAGAATATTGTTTCAACCCTTGTGTTCCATTTATGTATGGTCTGTTAAAGAGCTACAGAATCATGAAATCAAAGAATCAAAGACTGTTCCAATTCCAATGATGCTTTATAAAATAAATGGGCAAGGATTTGTACTTAAAGAACCTACAAGAACAAAGGCATAAACTTCTTGATGACACTGAGCTCCATTTCTGCCTTGGCAAGAATAGAAGCTTTTATATTATATATATTATTTGTAAGAATTATGCTCTATGCCAGGGATGTTCACACTTTTTCGGCTTGGGAGCTACTTCAAAAAGTAAAGTGATCTACCTGGATTGAAAACTATATATGTATAAATATATATTTACTACGTTGATTAAATGGCTGTAGTTGCATGGCACAATACCGTCTGACTCAATACTTCTATGGTCCTTACTTTAGCCCTAGTGATTGGCATTAAAGTAGAAATAAATCTATCATTTAAAAAAAAACGTGTTTCTTTAAATGTAATTGCTCAGGATCTACCAGCACTCCCTTTGAGTTCTACTGGTAGATCCCGATCTACCTTTTGGGCACCCCTGCTCTATGCAGTAACAAAAAAGATAACCAACTTTGAGAAGCCCCAAAGAATGCAGAAGGTACCCCTGAGTGTCACCTGGATAACAAACAAAAACCCTGCTGGCTGCTGCTGGTCATATTCATCGATATAACTGGCCCCCAGGAGTCCTGAGCGCAGGACAACATGAAGCAGCATGTCTGTTGTCAAGAGGGCGATGTCTCCAGCCATGGCACACACACTGAAGAGGTAGAGCAGGAAATAACGTGTGTTCAAAGCGCCAATGCAGTTGTTAACCCAGACACAGTGGTGGTCAAAACGGTGGACACAGCGGTCACAGACTCCTGCAAAACAGAACAAGTGCAGTGGTGACCAAGCTGGACTTAACATCCATTATAGAAAAACCTGCCAAGATATGTTTTAGCAACACTGGTGCAATTCAAGAGAAGCCGTTCATCCAACAAAATACATCAAAGATCAAATCACTCACTGCAGTGCTTGGAGCGTGCCGGTTTGACCAGCTGGCAGGTTGGACAGTGGACGCCAGGGTGAAACATTCTCCGATCATATTGGTATATACTCACCTGACCAACAACTCTCTTCTTAGTTACTGTGCCTGAATGAGAAAAAAAAAACTCTTTTTTTTTTCATGTCTGTTATGAACTTAATTTCAAATCACACCTAATTAATGAGCAGCAGGAAAACCTTAAACCTTATTCATACATTAAAGAGGAATTGTCATGGTTATGAAACATGGATAGAATAATTGAACAGTGGGTGACAGTCTTGAAGGGACTTCTTGAAGATTGCAGTAAAAAAAAGATTATAATATTATTTTTCTCACTTTCACTTTTAATTTCTACTTGCCAATAGTAAAACTGTAGATTTATGTGGGGCAACTTTTGTGGAGGTTTAAATATTCTAAATATTTCTCTTCACAGACCTGGATCTTTGCTGATGCATAGGTAGAAAAAGCAGGTCTTGAAGATGAGAAGGACGTAAGGCACACACAGACTGGTTAGAGCCGTCTCCATCTCCCTGCAGAAGTTGAACACCTCAAAGGTGAACTCTGTATAGACAGCACCTTCTAAAACCAGGTGCAGGTAGATAAACATGTTGCTCCTGCAGTGACAAGAAGATGAAACACACTAGACAACTTTTGCACTGACAGAGGACTTTTTTTAATGTACTTTTTTTTTTTTACATTGAATTGTAAGTGACAGAAGTGTTTAGAAACACACCTCTCATGAAAGAGACTGTGCATGCTCTTCTGTGACCACTTCTGGAGCCATTTTGGTGTAACTGGAGCTAGGATCTGTTGAAAATTGGATATAAAACAAATTACTGTATTTCTTATTTTGTAATTAACTTTTGGCTCATTTATTTCTCTTATTTTAGCCATGTTGTAATAACAAATTTTAAGCTGTTGCATTTCTGATATAACTCCAACGCCACTCAACTCACTTGAGTTAAGTGCTGTAACAGCGCCATCAAGTGTCAGTTTGTAGTATCAACAAAGTAAAATTGGAAAAACGATCAGTAATTACATTTCTCACCTTCGTGATGAAGTTGAAGAGTGTGTGAAAGGGACTTTGCTGCTTTCCTGAGTATTTACACACTAGGGCTATACACGCGAGCACCACCAGTACGTAGATACCAAACAGAGTCAGAAAATCCATCTTTTTTACCCTTAGCTGTTTTTTTCCGACCCCAAAACAAGCCACCGACAGGGCGAAAACTCGACAACAGGCTGTCGCAAGAATAGCATGGAGTTCTAAATCATTACGTTCAAAGAATATGCACTTTGAAGGAAAAATTGAAAGTACTGTCAGGTCGTGTACTGTAAATTTAAGAGACTAGGCACCAGCATGCTTACCAGTTAGCAAGATCAAAAAGTGTCCAAAATATTTACTAAGTCTGCGTAAATACATGTATGTCTCATGTGCTCGACTCTAGGTGTGCCCGTTATAAATCAAAGCAGTTCTGTTCGCTATTGCCAACGGCCTCACTCTCACCCCCACGTTGTTGTTCCGTATATACTGTCACTTCCGTAGCATCCATGGAGCATTTCGTGCTACGTTCGCCGAGTTAGCATTAGCCACGTTTGCTTAGCATAGTGATAATGAAGTGTGTCCTTGCAGGAGGAGGGGGGCGCTGTTGTTGTTCTTTACTGCACTTTGAAGTTAAAGAAATAAATGGTAGTTGTCGCATCATATCTCTCATGAGTTATATGTTAAAACATTGAATGTTTGTATAGATAATATATTTCGTATGGCGGCATATAAATGCCACATTAAGGATACAATAATGAAAAGTACGTGATCAAAGCTACATGCAAGGGAAAAGGTTACACATTTTTTAAATTGCATTTAAGATAATAAAGTATTCATGTGTTATGCTTTTATAAACAATAAAAAGAGCCACACTTGAACATACTATGAACTGTTTTCAGACTGTTTTCATGATTAATCAGCTTTTTTATATAATCACCAGCTAATGTTCACAGTAAAAGCTGCAAAAAATTATATTATCAGAGCAACCAGTGTTTAAGAAGGTTGGCATTCATATTAACTAAACTTTTTTTTTAGTTTGTAAAGTGTCTGAAGACCAGACATCAGTTCATTAACTTAATTGTTTTCTTTGCTTTGCTGCTGTCCAGCTTCACAGGACACCTGATGGATCTGGTTGCAGACATGGACCAGTGCTCATGTTACAGCTCACAGTGCTGGAGGAAAGAGTTTTACTCATACGGTGTGTGCTTACATCTATGGATGCTGCTTAAAAAGGTAAGTGGTGTGTAGTTGTTGGTGTGGTGTGAGGACGTTTTCTAAATGTGTCCTTAAACTTGTTATTGGTCATTAAGTTCATTCATTTGTTAGTATCCTAAAAACATTTTTATATACAAAATACTATACTGTAGGTAGTCCATGGACAAAGCATTGTTTCTCTAAGATGCTTTTTTAAATGAAAATTGTGTTTTCATCTTAAAGTTTTGTAATTTTGTTTCTACAAAACATGTGTTTGATTCAAGTAATTTGACTGAAGTGTTTGTTAGTGTTTGCACATAGAAGTCATTTGTGTTTAATAATTCAGTTTTCTCTGAGCTGCCTGTTTGGTTGTAGTTCGTCTACACCAACTACTACAGTTCTACCTACAACTTTAACTCACATTGTTGCTCCTTTGATTGCTTCCCACAGCGTTTTTTCATTGTGTACTTTCACGATACACAAACACTGATTAAATCTTGTTAAGAAACAGCTCTACATTTTAGCCAGTGAAACTAAATTTTGAAAGTCAACACCTCTAAACCTGTGGCAGATACAGCAGCTCTAGTCCAAATCACTGACTGGACCTTCAGCTAATAAGAACTGAAAATAACAGAGTGACTGCAGCACTTTTCCCTAGAGTTCGCCAATGTCACCATTTGAAAGACAATATAATCAATAAAAAACAGCACAGAGGAGCTGGTGTCTAATATTAACCTGCATGATTTTTATTCCACCTTTTTTTACCAGAATATCCAGTAGATGCTTTTAGGATTTGAAGACTGTTTGCATATTTTTTTTATGGACAGAAATAAACTATCAAAAGAACACAGTGTATTTTGGAGGACAAAGTGAAGACAATTGTATAAAAAATACATTGTTATTTTAGTTCAGGATTTATTCATCCTAACATACAGCAAATCGTTTTGCTAACATTGTTCTGCTTAAATCTAAGGTTAGCTTTTAGCAATAACATTTTGGTTATTCCTCTATCATTAAATGGCATTTTTTTAGGAGATTTGTTCATTTCTGTTTCTTTGGTGGAGATTAAAGCAGTCATGTTTGTGATAAAAAGACTCTAATGTTTATTTGTTATCTGTGGTAGATAACAGATGTGATGTGCTGTGATTTTGAGCAGGGGTTTTGGCTCTTTGAATCACTGTGAGTTGAATATAACAGTCAAGGCAGAGCATATGTACTGACCCCCCCTGTATTGATGGCACTTTGGGGGAGAGGATCTGAAGATCTAGCTCCTAATCCAAATAATCCCACAGGCTAAAGTCTTAAATACGTCCCTGTTCCTTCTTATATCCTTCCCAACATTCTAGCCTGGACACAGAAGTCCAGACGGGCTGCAGCTCCAAATTAGTACTCATCAGGCTTACTCATGTCGCTGCAGAGTGATTCTGGGCCAGGAGCGGTCCCTCTGAGAGTCACCTAGCCTGACAGAGGGAGAGGAGGAGGAAAGAGACACACCGGTGTATTTATAGAAAAATGAGGCCTCACCAAACCTCTTTTTGAGAGAGTATTATTAAGGAGCTGAGGTGCAGGCGTCCCAGTTTTCTGATTAACACTGTGCTGCCGGCCCAAGGATGAATCAGGGATGAGATGCAGCAGGACCAGCTTCTCAGCACTGGCTTTTCATGAACACTCACTCTTTTTCCTGACGAGGTTTCAGGGTGGAAGAAATGAGGCTTTATCCTGATCTGGACGAGCTGTCGCTTTGACTTTAGGCTCTGGGCTTGTCAAAGGGAACGGTTTTTCTTTTCTTTTTTACATTTGTCAGGACAGAGAGTTCTTGCGTGCCACCTGCTCTCTGGATTTCACGATGAAGAAGTTTTTGCAAAACAGGAAGGGAAGAACCTCAGTTCGGCAGAGCAAAAAGGGATTTCGATATCCGCCGAAAGATTTCTGTAAGTCTGTCGTCTAGGTCTGTCCACTGCTGTGGGTGAGAAACACAAGGAGGCCCTGGACCATGCATTTTAGCCAAATGTGATTTGAATGCTGTATTCAGGTTTCAGAACTGATAATCTGTCAAAAATCAAACATTATTTAGTCTTTACTTACCATTCCTCCATAGCTGCAGTCACTGATCAGCTGCATCCCCACTGTTCATACTGAAGGAACTTTTGTCTCTTAGGGTTTATGAAGGTCACGATCTCTGCAGCAATTCCTAATTTGATTGGCTGCTGTGGCGATTGTGAACCAGGTCAGGGTGTGTGTGCTTGTGTCACAGTCCAGGAAAGAAGGTTAAAAAGACGTCTGTTCACACAGAAGACAGCAGGAGGAAGGAGAGTGGAGACAACGTCCTGAAAATGAGTCAAACAGACAAAAGCAAAGAGTGCTTTGATTTGAACGGTCTTTAATCTTTTCAATAGTGTTTTTTAGCAATTGATTTGGCTTAGTTTTAGCAATATAACATTTGAATATTTTTACTACTTTAGGCGATAACTTCTGCTACCTAGATGGCAATAGGCAAGCTAGCTTTTAGTTTACTTTTGGCTAATATTTGATTAGCTGTTTTAGAAGTTGTTTGCTTTTGCTTTTTAGCATTTGTCTAAATCATTTTTGTGAATGTTCGTGCAGTTGAATGTTTTGAAATTGTCTGGTAAGTAGATATTGCTAAAAGTCTCTTCACTCATTTTCTCTGTGTTTAGTCCTCAACATGCCAACGTCCAATCAGGGCTGGCCAGAGGACTTTGGCTTCCAGCTGGGTGGGAATGGACCCAGTTACATCCTGTCAGTGGAGGAAGGCAGCAGTGCTCACCTGGCTGGACTGCAGGCTGGAGACCAGGTCCTGGAGATTGAGGGCCACAATGTGTCCACACTGGGGCCACAAGCTGTTATAGCAATCGCTCAGACGCAGAAGAACATCCCTCCGAGTATTGGAGTGGTGTCACGTATACAGCAGGTACAACTCCTCTGCTGACCTTCAGTTCTAGTCTTGCTAAAAGTTAGCCATGTTAGCAGTTTCAGTGAATTTGTTTTGATTTTGTTTGATTGAAGCTGTTTTGTTATAGCTTGTTAACCATAAATTATAGCTGTATATTTCTTACTAATCTTTAGCCATGTAGACTAACTGTGTTTACCCAACATTCTAACCATGAGGTTTTTATCTAGGTTTATCCAGGTTTTTCTGAAAAAAAAACCAAAAAACTTTTGGGAAACCTTTAGTTTTTTTTTACTAGAATTTTGATTTAATTTTACCACTATTTATTGTACTCCTTTTCACTAATTTAATCCATAGGTACAAGTGAGGAGTGTTTTTGGTTTATTACTTAATTAGCATGTAGTAAAATACCTTTTAGCATAGCTCCAAGGCTTTGGTCATCAGCAATTTCTAACTCTGCTAAAAAAAAATGTAGAATTTAAATTAAATAAAAGAAAGTTAGTTAACTTCTACATTGATTGGCTAATTAATACTATTCTTGGGTCAAACAAGATTAAAATTTAAGATCTAAAGTCTGCTTCACTTGTTTGTGCCAGATGGACATCATACCAGGGCCAGATGGTCGTTTTGGCTTCACTATCGTGGGCGACTGCCCCCTGCTGGTGGAGGACTGTTCCCCATGCTCTCCTGCTGGCCGTGCAGGTCTGAGGGTTGGAGATTTTGTCATGGAGGTGAACGGGATCCCTGTCAGGCAGCATGAGACAGCAGCCGCACTGATCAAGGCCTCACAGGGCAGAACGCTGCGTCTGGGCGTGTTGTGTTTGTGTCAGAGGCAGAAGCGCAGCAGCAGCATGGAGGACAGTCAAGCAGGAGGAGAGGGAACCAAGCAAGGACGGAAACATAAAGCTCTGGAGTTTAACAGGAAGGTATGAAATAGAAAAAGTCTTTAATGTGGGTTCCCAAGTTGGATTTTGTATCCCTTGTCAATAAGGTACTGGTTGAAACCGTTACTTTTCAGAGGAAAGGTGTTGATGGTTACAAAATCACATGGCCCATCATCAAACCAAAACATCACAAAAAGTAAACGTAATGAAATATAATCATTTTCAAATTAATCTAGTTTCAAATTACTCTCAGTTTATTTGATCAGTGTGAAATCTGGACCTGTTTAGTTGAACAAAACAAATGCACAAAGACCTCAAACTTCCTTTTTAGTTTTTACAGCCATCCCCTGCCACCTAGTGGAAGAGTATTTCGTTGTTCTGCCTGTTATTATTGAATAGACAAAGAAGTTAGTTCCCTTTAATAAATCATATTTCTCATACTACTTAATTGCCCGGTGTACAGAGATCACTGTTCTACAGTGTGTGTAAGTACTGTTACATCACTGTTCTACAGTGTGTGTAAGTACGATGTAGTGCAACTGTTACCTTTAAAACAAAGTAAGTTTGGCAAGAGAAAAAAAAAGTAAACTCTTTGACAGAAATTCAAAAATGCTTGCAATTAAGACAACTGATTAAAAGTTTTATTTAAGCCTTATCTTAAGTCATTTCAGGAATCATTAAGTTTTGATTAAAAATCTGTCTAATCTCCCTGCAGGTGGAAGAGATCCTGGGAGAAGAACCAGAGGTGAAGGACAAGCTCTTCTCAGTGCTGAAGCAGTACGCAGCGGAGAAGAGTTATGAGTGGTTGGCCTCTGTCCTGCCGGAGATTCTGACCACGGACGAGCAGCGGCAGCTCTTCACCAACATTAGGTAAGAGCTCCACCTGGAGAGAGAAAAATGTATGGCTAACAATAACCCTAAACACGCTGTACTTCTGGTGGTACTCACTCAGACTGTGGTTCTAGCAGAGAAGATTTATGGATGATAACATTAAACTCAGGTTTTTCCTGCTGCGTCTTCGGTTGTAAAATCAGATTAAAGGCAGTTCTCACTCACTGTGAGGCTTTATTAGGCTGCACCCCATCTGCCACTCAAGGGAAATCTGCACTGACCTTCCAAGTCTCTTTAGGTTCCATCATTATCACAGTAAAGCTGAGGTAGTAAACCAACACATGGAGACCTGTGAGGTTTCCCAGCGCATCACGGTCAGCAGCTTCAATAAGTCATGAGCCACACATATAATAATGAAGTCATTCTTTATTAAAATGTATTTTCTGGTGACCCTGGCACTCTGTTTTCACAATAATCTCCTAATAAAAAATAGAACAATACCGTAAATGTCCAAAGTCTGGGCTGGCACCCAACACTTGGCCCTCGGCATAGTTGTATTTTCTAGTTTTATTAATAGATAATTCAGATGTTAAAACAGTTTTATTTTTACCCCCATTACTGTGGCTCCTATTCCTACTGCTTGCTTCAGAATCAGAAGTCGGCCCTGAAGTATTTTCACATGATCTCTTTTCAAAAGCCTGGGCTCCAGAGAGCTGCGCTAATAAAGATTTCTGTGTGTCAGCTGGAATAAAGCCAGGTGAGTGTGTGAAAACCTTCAGACGGACGGATTTATCTCAGTGTCTTTCTGCCAGTGTGAGTCAGAATCAGAGAAGTTTTGTGTCTTTGAAGACAGAAAATCCTCTCAGATGGAGTTCAGCTCTCACTCCAGACAAATCTATTTATACAGTAAATAGATCTGAATAAAAAGAAAAATCACACTGAGAAGCAGCAGAATCTCAGCTTTGACTCTAATCCCTGACAGACGCTCAGCAGGTTGGACTGATGTTAGAGAGCGGGCCGACTAAACCATTTAACTACTACTACTGCTACTGCTACTGCTACTACTACTGCTACTGCTACTGCTACTACTACTACTGCTACTGCTACTACTACTACTACTACTGCTGTTGCTACTACTACAATCTGCTACTACTACTACTACTACTACTACTGCTGCTACTGCTGTTGCTACTACTACAAATACTAGTATTACTGTTGTTACTATTACTACAAATACTACTGTTGCTACTACTACTAATAATAATACCACTACTTTTGCTACTTACTATTACTACAAATACTACTGTTGCCACTACTACTAATAAAAATACCACTACAACTACTACTACTGCTGCTACTGCTATTACTACTACTGCAACTGCTGATTCTACTACTACTACTGCTGCTGCCACCGCTGTTACCACTAACGTAGTATTTTCTGTACACATACTCTAGTACTTTTGCTAGTTGTTCTTTACCCAGATATTGGATTTCTTACAGTGCAGTGCCTGCAGTGACATCATCAGACCACAGTACTCCATACAGTATATCATTTTCTTTTCTGTCTAATTTGCTCTTGAATATTTCACACAGTTTGTGCCCATTGGTGGTAGATGTGTGTAAATGAAACTGAAACCATTTTACAACTCTAGTCTCCCCCCTCTCTCTCCTCTGTGTTCCCTCTCACAAGGTGAGGTTTGTGTTTGGTTCTGATGGATTTTCTTTTAGCCTGCGTCTCCCTCTCTCCCTCCCTCCCTCCCTCCCTTCCTTTCTCCCTCTCTCTCTCTGTGTTTCCCCCTGACACTTTGGTAAAAGCAGCTTCCTGCACCAAAGTCCCACCATATTTTCCGTCCTCCTCCTCCTCCCCCTCCTCCTCCTTGAAGCAGCAGTAGGTGTGTCAGCGGCTCCTGTCCACCAGCACTAATCATGCTGCTTGTCCTCTAGATTTTGTCTTTCTGAATTTTTCAAAAATGGCTTTCAGCTGAAGTCATGAATTGTCTTGGGTGAGTAGTTCTTAATGTTTAGATTCTCTTCCAACTGTGGTGTTTGTGAAAATCTGCTTGTTTGTTTGCTGAAATTGCATTTTGTTGTGCAGCACCTGCAGCACTTTAACCATCGGTGTATTTATGTGAACGCAGTGGGGAGGTGATTGGGGAGGGGGTGAATAATTAATGGAATTTGATCCTGATCCTGTAGTTGTGGACTAGTGCTCTGAATCCAGGGGGTTTGATGCCATGTGTTTGGAGACATGGTGTGTTTGTTTATGATTTTTTTAACTTTTTATGATTTTATGATGTATATGTGCAAATATGTTTTTAAACCTAGTCCAGTTATTAGATCCTAGGGCTTTGATAATAACAGCTCTCGTAGCAATGAATACACACCACAGGGCAATAATTTGATTTTTTTTTTTTTAACAATAATGTTGTTGTTGATGAACGTTTTAGCCAAAGTACAGCTAATCATAGTCAACACATTTGGAAAAGCTAACAGATAATGTAGCTTAGCTAAATGTTAGCCAGATATATAGCAAATCTGGGAAACAGCCTACAGTAAAACAGTAAAAATACCCATAAATAAATCAAGTTAACCTTTAAATGGCTGTCAGCATAAATTTAGTTAAAGCATTAAATTAAATAGCATTGAAGTTTCCGAAAATGTCCCTGAGACATGTGTCACTGCAGCCACAGTGGTCTCTGGTTATTTTCTGCTCTGCTAAACTCAGTTCTCTTTCACGGTGTTGATAATTATGGTGTTTTATCTTGGCTGAAGGAGTCGGCAGCTGGAGCTGAGACTGAACTGAACACAAAACCAAAGCCTGAGAGTCAGGGAAAACAGAATCCATAACCCGACAGATCAATAAGTTGTTAACCAATAAACTCTCGGTAAATTATATTAAAAACAAATATAAGGGTTATTCTTTTTTTTTTTTTTTTTGGTTCCATTTGTAAACATTTGTAACACATACATGAAGAGTATTGTAAGAAAATAACCTGTACGCAGGGTAAACATGATTTGTGAAAGTTTGTTAAGTTTTTTGCTATATTTCACCCCCTATGTTGCCTCCTAAAGCAGTGTTTCCCAAACTTTTTTTCTGGGGACCCGTATTTTAAAAGTCACAAACCTTCTCGACCCAAATCAATAGACATTATTGGTAATCTTCTGGGAAACATGATGCGAGACGACCCAAAGAAAATATCTTACGACCCACTTGAGGGTCAGAGCCCGGTCTTTGGGAAACAAAAGGGTTCGTAAAGGGTTAATACGTATATGCGTAAATAATATAATAACTTTTGCATCTCTACTTTGAGGTTTTTCGTTCTACATTCTAAGACCGCCCACGATAGGCCAGGGGCCACTGTATATATATGGTCAACAAAGAGCAAACGTGGTAAAATAGTAAATTGTGCTGTTGGATTATTTACAAAATTCAAATTGTAATCAAAAATCAAACAACAGAATTTTGGTTAAAAAATAAACATCAATGTGGCAGTCATGTGGCCAACCTGATTCTGATTTAGTGAGTAGGTGTTCCAGCCTCCAGATGGTTCAGGGGGTTCTCTGTGGATGGTTTTCCTCAGACCAGGAGCCAAAGCTGAGCTCTGAAGAGAGACTTTGTACAGAACTACATTTTTTGCCAACCCTGAGTGAAAGTGTAAACACTGAACAATTATAACGGTAGGCTTTTATCAATGACCACAGAAAAATCTAAAGATTAGGATGAATGCCAAAAATAAACACCCATATACAAAGGTAAGGCCTGACCTCCAAATGTAACCAGTAACAAACTTGAGAGGAAAATAAATAAAAAAAAGTTAGTGCAGAAATCTCTTCAAGTACGCTTCTAAAACAGAAATACCACCTGAATGTGCAGCCACAAAATAAAAGTAATTAGTCTAAATATATTAAATGTTAGCACTTGGGCTTTTTTCTTCATTCATTTTTCTATCCTCACAGAACAGTAAAGGTGAAAAGGTCAAATAGAAAGAACATGTTCAGACAGCTTTCATTAATTTTTAAGGACACACACATTGTTGCATAACCTTGACACTCCATTTAGTCGCTGACAGCAGCAGCAGCAGCAGCAGCAGCAGCCAGCGACCTGTCCATTTGTCTGCCACCGTGCCCTCAAGTCTCATCTGGACCCTGGAAATGAAACACTGTCCTTTTCTTGTCACTTTTCTGCCTGTCATTCCTCCCTCTGAGAAATCCCTCCTGTCCTCCCTTGTCGATTCCTCCTCCACAAACCTTTTTTTCTTCAGATAATTATAGATCTCTGCTCTTCACAAAGGAGGTCAAACCACAGCACAAACTCCTATTGTAGCTCTGAGGTGGATAAACATCTACATGGTGATGAGTAAACCTCAGAGGAGAGCTACGTACGTGCAGCACATACAGTATAGTCTGGAGCGGAACGTGAGAAAATGATGACAAATATCGGAGAGAATGAACAGAGAGAAGGAGCGACTGTGTGACTCCAACACCTACAGAACAGAGGAGCTACAGTACGTTTATTTATAACACTGCAGTTTATTCCTGTTGTTTTTTTTTACCCAGTCAGGCAACACTGTCTAAGACTGCAGTCACACACCGGTTCAACAAGCATCTGCAGAGACGCTGGGCCAGATAAAGATGTGTTTCATTCCACTGGTGACACTGAAGAGCCACTGCTCTGATGTGTGACTGAAGCATGAGTCTAAGGCATAAACACAGTGGAGATTAGTGTTCACATTTTACTGTCTTATCTGGCAGACTGCAGAGGAGAACGCCAGTTTCCTTGGTGACTGTTCTTGGTGGCTGTTCTTGATGACTGGCAGTTCTTAACTGACGACTGATGAATGATAAAAATCTCACGCATTGCTCTCAGAAATTGTCTCTGCTTCGCTGCTTGCTTCCGCTGTGCCGTAGTGCTGAACGGAGAGCTCCATCAAAGAGCGAACCATTGTTGTTTAGTCATTTCACCACAAGAGGGAACCAACGGTTTCTTGTGGCCTTTCTGAGTTTTACCGTCGGAGCTAAAGTTTCTGTATTATTCTGTAGTATGAATCTGTTTGACCTTGAGAGTGGTAGAACATTATTATTTAATTAGATGAAATTGGAACAGTTAGCTCCCAATGTACTAATAATAATATTGCAAATGTTTTAAATTGCTAGTTAAAGCTTATTTAACTAGCCATTAAAGCTTATTTAAAAAATCCCAGAAATGTTTTTAAAACACAATTTAAATTGGTAGACTCTAACTAATTGTAACAAGACTAAAACTTACGAAGTATTAAAAGTATTGAGCTAAACCTTGGGTCTCCTGTATTAACTAGTGCAGTGTTTTATATCTATAAAGGTGTTAGAGCCATAGCTTGATACCACCAGTGTTGTTAAAATATCTGCTGTCTTTTATATCCTGACCCAGAATTAGACTTAACTTAATTAAACTAAACTAAACTAAATTCCAGTCTAAAACAGTGCAGGAGCTGGAGGTGCTGAGAACATTCAGCCTGAATCATTTGTAACAAAGTGCTTGAACAGCTAAGGGTAATAATGACAACAGCCTCAGCTTGGCCTCAGCATTGCTGTGATATTACATTTTCTTCCCTCTCTCTCTCTCTCTCTCTCTCTCTCACGTTGTCCTAATTGTTTAACATATCTGTCTGATGTGTTTTCACACAGTTTAATTAGACTCCAGTGGACGTGTCCACACCAACTCTTCCATCTCCCTCATCTTTACCAGCTTAGCTGCTGCTAATTACTCGCTTGGTGCAGTTTTTTTTTTTAGCCGGTCTGCTGGTGGATGATTCATCTCGTCAGCAGTAGAACCAACCAGTCCAATCACAACAGACTGGTGTAGGTGGGAATCAGAAAAAAAACAGTCGCCTGTTCAAATCTGTGCTGGAGCTCAGCCCTCAGTTGGGTTCTGGTGTCTGTGTGATTCAGGAACAAATGGTCCTCAGCTGATTCCCTCTGTACCTGTGCTGGCATTTAGATTTCTTGAATTTGCACATCTTCTGTTCATGCTTTGGAATGGTCAGTGTTAACGTGTGTGACATGATGTGTGTTTATTCTGTGTAGGCTTCTAGATCTGTGCACGTGGTTCTAATGTGAATGTTTCCATGATCCTCATATTCATGGAAGAGTTGGTTCTTCAGCGTTCTCCAAAGTTCCTCAATAAACATCTTAAAAAAACCTTGAAAATCACAGATCATTTTCCAGTAATGGAAAACATGAAAAAAAAAAATTAGGCCGACATC